ACCCTACTGATACAGCTTTGGTAGCTACAACCTGTGCTTCATAGTGAACAAAAACACTCCGTACACAGTGTTCTTTGGGGTCTCTGCATTAAATCACCTAAAGAAAAGAGAGCTCTGACGCCCAAGTGCTGGGGAGCTCTGCCTCTGCAATGTCATTTTCCTTTAGGAGGAGGGCTTTGTCTGGGGATGAGGCATTAGGCTGAAATTTTGAAGCTCTGGTTTAAGTCCCAAATTTCAGACTTTCCCAAATAGCTCCCGACTGTGTGAGTGGGGACATGATTATAGGGACATAATTCTGCTTTCTCTGATTTCCAGTCTTGTGTACCAGAACTCCCATTTATAGGGCTGGGAAAAGGGACCTTCAGTAGTGCGAAGGAGTGGCTGGTTGGAAGCAAAACACTTTTATAATTAACAGATGAAAGAATTCAGTTAGCTCAGCTGGGTCTGAGACTAGCTGTAAAGCTAATTTCAATTAATGTGAGCATTTAACTTTGCTGTTGAAATGCAGGAATATGGTGTCAAATTCTGATTTTCTTGCTGTCTCAACAGTTTGCAAATACTACTGTTTTTCTGCTTGCAATGAGTCCTTTAACAAAGTGGCAGCATGTGCCAGCACCTCCATGTCGCTCTGACATCTCCAGCCAAGCTAACAAGCCTCATTTAGCACAACCAAATCAAGCTTTGTTACGCCCCACTCCCCAGCACACGTACCTAAAATCCCAGGACTCATCTTTTATGTGCCAGAACATGCTAAACCTCTTACTACTGCATCCTAACTGCCCCTGATCTTAATTGCAGAGATAAACAAGCTGCTCTAGATATGCTAAGTATATGCTACAACCACAGCCCTTAATTTGGTTTTCAGACAAACAGTGAATCCCTTGACATCTATCTTCCCTGCCCTACTTACCTCCCCGGTCCAGGTACACCACGGAGGGGCTTTGACATTACCTGGGATTGTGTCTCCATCACCTTAGGAGTTGTATGGTCTCAGCTGGGTGTTTCTAGATGTAAACATAGCAGTCGTATTGTAGGAAATACTGCACCAAACCTTAGTGAAAGACCAGGCAGGAAGGGGAGGTGATTTTTATTTTATTTAACTTTATTTGGCTCTACCCACTTGAATACTCATCCACATACTCTCAAGCAGCCGGATATGTATGAGTACTTTCTGCAGGATCACTTGGGAGCGACAAAAGGGACACCAGGTACTGAGGTGCTGCATCTGCTGGGCTCCTCTTGACGGGCAGCAATGAACAGTGTTTTGGGCAAACCTTTTATAAAAATCAATAATTATAGGGGGATATTTTGCCTCAGTCACTCTCCTTGGTTCCTGGGCAAGGTTGCAGCCTGCTGTCCAATTTTGTTATTTTGCACATCATACAGTTACCGTCTGTCTCCTTGCTGGGATAAAAGAAAAAAAAAAAACACACTAATGATATGAATATTTGTCTACCCAGAATATGGCTTTGCAAATTACATGTTTTTACAAGTGTTTGAAAACTCAGGCTGGCTGATAGACTTCCAAAGGTTTTTCTAATAGTCAATGGAAATATCTTTTTGGGCCTCTTCTTACAGACAAAACCCTGCAGCTGTCCCGTGAAATCCCTTTCAGATGAGAGCCTTCAACAGAGCACCATGTGCTGGGGAGAGGGTCCCTTGTCCTCCGCCACCAATGGCGATGCGTCCGTCCTCCTGGGAGGGTGGCCATGCAGCGGGGGGGTTCGGCGAGGCTGACAGGCACTGCTGATGGAGCATAGTCTGAGAGGCACGAGTGCGAAGATGAGATAAGGCTGAGCAGGTCTCATGCTCCAGGGCAGGAAATGCACACGGGCAAAGCAAGGAAGGAGGCATTTACCGGAGACTACAGGTGGCACAGCCTAAGGCTCTCTGTCACGAAGCGTGGCTCTGAAATAATAAGGCAAGCTACGGTTGCCTCAATCAGCTATATCTGAGTGAAAGATCCTTCCAGCATTGCCACTTAAGAGCTTGCCTGGAGCTGGATGGTTTTATTGGAGGAACATGCTGCTGCTGTTCGTAGTAATTCCAGTTTGGCAGAAGAAAGACATGAAAAATGTGTGCAAACTCTATATCCAGAGTGAATTCCCCTGCAGCCCTTACAGTTAAGGGATGAGGTGCTACAAGAGTAGAATAGCAAAGATGACCCCTTTTCTCTCTTAACCCATGAGCAAATGTAGCAAAATACTGTATGTAGCCTGCAATAAATGACACTCTCTCAACAAGAGGGGCTTTCCCTATTCTTATATGCTCCTGAGAGGTTTAAAGAGAGCCTGTTACATATTTATCTGCCCACTGGATATAAAACTCCCAGTATTGCCCTGATTTTTTTCAAAACTGCTCCTTTTCTGTCATGTTCCCTCTGCCTATGACAATGCAGTCAATGCTCAGAGCATCCAAGCATCTCTCACTGCTATTGTGTATGTAACTCCCGTGAACATAGCAATGAAATAGCTTGTGGACTTTCTTTAAAGCTAAAATTACATAAGCTGGCTATGTCAGGCACAGCTTAAGCAAAAACACTGGGAAGTACCAATGAAGTTACAACAGTCCACCACCCTGAGGGCAAAGACAACTCTTCCAGTGCCTGCACAGCTGTGGATGACTCCCATGATGTGACGGGATGTGGTGGCCGTGCTCTCGCAGCACCCCCAGCTCACTGCCATAATTATCAGGGAGGACAACCGGCCCCTTTGCTTTTGTGCTGAGGTCTCTGCAGGCCAGCGTGGTTAAAAATAAAAAGGTCACAGGCCTAACTCAGGTGCTCTTATACCACTGCAAGTCTACATGAAGACCACTGCTTCTTTGGCTGTTTGGGTTTCTTTCCTCTGTTTCTCTGTAGGTCAAATCCTTCAAGGCTGTAAATCACCCAGAGCGTCCCAGATTTGCATCACTTCAGCCTCTGGCTCTATAGGCATGTGTTGTCTTTTGGGGAGCTTAAACTCATTGGACCAGAGTCCAATGTGTGTCCCTACAGCCCTTGGCAATAATGTGGGTGTCATTAGAAACATATAATACACTCCTACGAATCTGCCAGTTACAACACAATATAATGAGATGCCAGAGCCACGTCTGGGTGTTCAGAAACAATTTCTAGAATGAGAGATAAATTGCATATGTCTATAATAACAAAAGATCCTCTTTCCCCCCTCACGTTTCCTTTCTGGAATGTTGGACCCCTCTGTAGGGGACATGTGGAAGTAAATCACTTGTTTTTTTCTGAAAATCCAAGAGCATGTCTGCTTTTCCCCATTTCTTCACTTTACTTGTAGTAGGCGGAGCCATCCAATGACTTTAATACAGCTGAAAACAAAAGAGGTGGTGGAGGGGAGATATCAATCAGAAATGACGAGCCCAAGATTATGCCAAGTAAGTGGGTAGTTGTGGTTGGGTTTGGCTGGTAAATAAATCAATCATTGTTTTTTCTTTCCAACAGGAGGACTAGATACTATATAAAAGTTCTCACACACCAGGTTTGCTCACTCCATTTGACTTCTTTCCACTGGTTTGTGCTGTGGGACACGGTAAGATATTTTATGCTACTGATGAAAACTAACTTGGCTGATTAGCCTTGGAATGCTAAACTAGAAAAGGTGGGAGTAAATATGGCTTTTGGATCTCATAGTCCAAAAATTCCTCCTTATTTACAGGCAATTTTTTTTCCTAATGATTCATTCTGTGGGATTACTTAAACAGAAAAGGAGGAGAGCTGGGACATTGAAAACATGGTCTTTGGAGCCCCTTTGATTTCTCTGGGCCCAACACCATGTGGTGCCACTGTATACAGGCAACTCGTAAATACTCTTGGAATACAGATCTTAAGAAAAAGGGCAGGAAAAGAGTTTTTGCAGGTACTTAGCAAAGAGTAAGAAATTAAGGAACTGAAATACAAAATGGGAGACTATTCTCATTTTCCAGCCTTTTATCTAAATTGGAAAGGGTTTTCTTTTGACCACCTTTTTTCTTGGAGGAACGCTTTTCTCCTCTGGCATGTTTGGACGTCTCAGCCTGCTGACCTGTAGATCCTTTTTGCTAGTAGAGCTGTCACTTGCCTGTCAGAGGAATATAAATTACGACTGCCAGCAGACAAGGATGTAGGCTGTGGTGGGACTTAAGTGCCAAAGAAGTGCTCAAACTTCACAGCATCCCTGTAGGTTTCAGCCTTGGGTACAGGCACTCATCAAGCCCTTGCAAGTTGTGACCTGGAGCATTCTGCTGAAGCTTTGTGTAGCTGCTTTTCTTTTTTTCTTTTTTTTTTGCATTGCTGATAACTTTTCCACTGGCTGTTCCTCTTTCTTCTAATTTTAAGAAGAAATAAAACAGTCACTGTGCTCTTTTGAAACCGAGATTGAAGAATTTCAAAGTGCAATGGAGTTATTGTTATGCAAATGATGACCCGTGTTCTTTGTTTCTTTTATGACATGCAATATTAATACCTATCCCCTAGCATTACAGTCCTTTCAAAATTCCCAAACCACATTTGGATAAGGGTAATTCTGGTGTACCATGGCCTTGTGTACCTCTTGCAGTGGCAGGCCACTCTAACAACTTGCTGCAAGAAGGAATTATTAAGGAATGATTACGGTTGCACCTGTCCTAGGGAAAAAAGACCAGTTATATATGGATAGAGGAGGTCCTGTAGAAGACCTGACCAAGGGATATGGAATGAGCTGAAAACTTCCCAGGTCCTTCCTGCTAAGCATTTTAATTTATAAATTCCTGAGGTTGACAATACCCTTTTGCGTTAGCTATCAATCAGAGGTGGATGGGAAGGGGGGAGAGGGAACAGAAGACATTTTCATATATCGGCCTGCCTTTGGAAGGGGATGGGGAGGCACAGTAACACAAGCTTTCCTCCCCCTGAGTTTGCTAAAAGGCATGTTTTTTCTTTCTCTTGGAGGACTCCCCAACGCCTGGGACGATGGGTTCCCATCAGCAGAAGGGCGACATCCAAGGGATCTCTGAGCAGTCTGGTGGATGCCATGGCAGCGGTGGTGGAGGAGGTTCATGCCACGGGGGTGGTGGAGGAGGTTCCTGCCACAGTAGTGGTGAAGGAGGATCTATGGGATACCAGACCCAAGGATCATTCTGCCATGGAGGAGGAGGCAGCAGCGGCTGCAGTGGCAGTGGTGGTGCTATTTACCAGACCCACATATCATCGTCCTCCTTTGGAGGAGGAGGAGGCTCAGGCCACCAGAGCCAAGGATCCATCAGTGGTGGCAGCGGAGGTGGAGGAGGAGGTGGTGGGTCAGGCCACCAGGGACAAGGACCCATCTGCATTACTGGAGGAGGAGGAGGTGGTGGTGGTGGAGGCAGTGGTGGTTCAGGCCACCAAAGTCAAGGCCCCATCTGCATTGGAGGTGGTAGCATGGGAGGAGGAGGTGGAGGTGGTTCAGGACACCAAAGCCAAGTTCCCATCTGCATTGGTGGTGGTGGAGGAGGAGGAGGTGGTTCAGGTTACCAGGGCCAAGCGCCCATCTGCATTGGAGGTGGCAGCATAGGAGGAGGAGGGGGAGGAGGTGGTGGTTCAGGTCATCAGAGCCAAGGCCCCATCTGTATTGGTGGAGGAAGTGGTGGTGGTGGTGGTGGTTCAGGTCATCAAAGCCAAGGCCCAATCTGCATTGGTGGTGGCAGCATAGGAGGAGGAGGAGGAGGAGGTGGTTCTGGCCACCAAGGCCAAGGTCCCATCTGCATTGGTGGAGGTGGTGGTGGAGGAGGTGGTGGTTCTGGCCACCAAGGCCAAGGTCCCATTTGCATTGGTGGTGGCAGCAGAGGAGGAGGAGGAGGAGGAGGTGGTTCTGGCCACCAAGGCCAAGGTCCCATCTGCATTGGTGGAGGTGTTGGTGGAGGAGGTGGTGGTTCCAGCCACCAGAGCCAAGGACCCATCTGCATTGGTGGTGGTAGCATGGGAGGAGGAGGAGGAGGTGGTTCTGGCCACCAGAGCCAAGGACCCATCTGCATTGGAGGTGGCAGCATGGGAGGAGGAGGGGGAGGTGGTTCAGGCCACCAGGGTCAAGGATCCATCTGCATCATTGGGGGAGGTGGCTCAGGCCACCAGAGCCAGGGATCATCCTCTTTTGGTGGAGGTGGTTCATCCAGTTCTGGAGGTATGGCAATTCAACAGCAGACCCAGCCAATCTCCTGGCCACCACAGACTAAACACAAGTAGTGTCTGTAGAAGGGACTCTTGGATCAAGAAAGCCCAAGATACAAACATGCCTCACATTTCTTTCTCTATTAAATTTAAGAATATTTGCATTATTCCTTTCTCCTCTTCCCTGGGATTTTTCTGTTCAGCTCTCCAGTTGACCAGAACCTCTGGTGCTGTGTATCAATAACTTCCAGCCAGGATTGTTTCATATGTCTGTTATCCGCCTCAATTTTCTAGTGCTTGCACAAATCAATAAAACTTGCAGTACTAGAGAGCTTCAGTGTCTGAGTGGTTGGATTTTGCTTTATACCACAACATTTGCATTATTTCCATTATTATGTTTTTATTCTGAGCTGATGCTGCTGTAATAAAGCTCCAGAGCACAAGTGCATTGAAAATCCACCTGTAGAAGAGATGCTGGATTCACTAAATATTCTTAGGTCATCTTTTAATGTCTGTTGCTACTCATGATCCTGACTTTTGCCCATCAGATAAGGGACCACGAAGTTAAACATTGCAGTCTCTCTACCTCATCAAAATGTCATGCAACGCCCAAGGAAGTTTTAAATGCGTTAGGAGAGAAAAGACACAAAAACTCTAGTACAAAGGATTACAAGGTACTATTACAGGTGTGAAGCAGAGGTCCTTGCACGTGCTTGGTGCAGGAGCTCTTGGTGCTCACAGCTGCACCAAGCAGCTGTGGAAGAGGAATGAGGGGTCTCTCCAACCCTTGTTCATGCTCTGAACACCTGAACCTGGTGGAGCCAGTGGCAGGGACAGGACTTCAGAAAGCCCCTTCCAAGGGCTGAGATGCTAAGCCTGGAGTAACTAGAGATCTCCTCATTCCCACAGGAATAAAACACAGCTCCAGGTATGAGTCTTCAGAGGGAGTTTCCCTATGGGAAGTGATCTCTTTGATGTGGTATATTCTGGCAATTAGCAGGGAAAGGAAAATAAACCTTCTCTGCCTGAACTATTCTACATGAGGCAGATGACAGATGCCTGGAAGTGTCCCAGAAGAGACAGGAGTGACCCACACCTACAGCGGGTAAAAGAGCTTCACGTTTACGTGTCCCTCTACCCTCTGTCCTGTTCCTCTTGGGGACCCCAGGGATGGAAGCATTGTCAAGACATGTCCGGACAAACCCCTCCAGCCAGTGCTGCCACTGGAACAGCTAAATTGTCTGGGATTTTATTATGGAAAGTCATAGGGTGCTAAAATACCAGTGACTGGGAACTGCACAAACACTGCCATTACCTGCCTGGTGCTAACAGAAAGCTTGGGGTCCCACTTCAAGGAGGTGGGAGCATTGCTGTTGAACATCCCTGCACCCAGAAATGGCCCAGGACCAAGAAAGCCAGGACCCAAATTTCAGAGGCTCTCAGGGAGCACAGCGCATCCTCAGATCTTGTTGCTTCTTCAGAAACACCAGAGCCATCTCCCAAACTGGGATAAATTCATCCTTTTGGTTAATATCCATCAAGATGCTGATACACAGGGTGGATATTGGATCTGGTACCCTCTACCTGCAGCACTTCAACTCCTTTCTAAAATAGGCATCACCCCACGTCCCAGAGGCAGTGTAAAGCCTGCCTGACCTCTGTACTGTCCGTAGTGGGGCACTCAAACAAAAGCCATGGTCAACTCTTCACCGGTGTAGTGGGAAGTCCAGGCATGTGAGATTCCTCTGCTGCCCCAGCAACGGAAGTCCTACCCAGTGCAGCCCTCTCCATTCCCCTGGGCATCTCCGTAACCTGTAGCACACAATAAACACAAGTCTCCGCAGCCCGTTCTGCTGTCAGTCACCACCCCAGAAGCATCTCCCAGCTCGAGTGGAGGGCGCTAGCTGGAGTCCCACAATTCTACCTTGAAACTCCACTGTGGGAGCTGAGCTCACATGTGATACCTGCAGCCAAACTGCAGGTAGCCTAGGAAATGATGCACTAGAGAGGCATTGATCTGATTCGATGAGTCAGGACAAGTGGGCTGAAGGAGGACAGCTTGTTTAGTAAATAAACCTATCACCATTCCTTTGGATGCCTCACTTCCCACCTGGGAAAACTAGAAACGGTATAAAAGTTGCTGGATCTCACAGTGCTTCATTCGCTCAGCTTTGCTCTGTGGTACACGTCGTCGGAGACGAGAAGGGTAAGTCCATTTCTGCCAAAGGGAGCGATTCTTCTCTTTCGCACTTGCAAAACACAAATGCTTTGGTACAGTATGTCTGATGGGTGGTGGGTTGAAGGGCAGGAAGGTTAATTTGATGAATTTAAATCGGCTGTGGATGTCAGCAGGAGCAGGATCATCCCATGCTACTGTAAGTCATGTGTTCATCAGTATAGAGATGGAGATGGAACAGCTATGGGATAAAAGACTTTGAATGATGGGTTGATTAACTTCATCAATCTGGTAATATCCTGTTAGCAAAAGGCTCCATGGGTAGCTGGGATCTATGGAGCACAAAGTGCTTAGAAGAAAGGAAGATCATTGGTTCTGGAGAGAGCCTGCCAGTGTCATTGGGCTGTACACTGGTCCTTCTGGCTGGGAAAATTCTTGTGATAACAATGGCTGCTCCTGAGTAAAAAGCATACTATTTCTTGTAGGTACATTACTCAAAGATGTGCTCCAGACAGACCTCCGGAGGCTGCCATGAATCATCCTCCCAGTCCAGCGGATGCCACAGCGGGGGCCCCTGCTGCCACGGGGGCAGCTCCTCCAGCTACCAGGCACAGGGCTCCTCCTGCTGTGGCGGCTCAGGCTCGGGCAGCTACGGCGGGGGCAGTGGGGGCTCTGGCAAGATCATTGTCAGCTCTGGCGGTGGAGGAGGTGGATCCTGCTGCAGTGGGAGTGGGGGATCCTCTGGATGCTGCAGTGGAGGATCCAGTGGTGGCATGGGAGGAGGATGGAGTGGTGGGTCTTCAGGATCAAAGAGCATCATTGGAGGTGGAGGTAGTGGGGGATCCTCTGGATGCTGCAGTGGGGGATCCAGTGGTGGCATGGGAGGAGGATGGAGTGGTGGGTCTTCAGGATCAAAGAGCATCATTGGAGGAGGAGGTAGTGG